TAATTATTATTAATTATTATAATATTAATCATACGACTATTAATTATAATTATTGTCATAATGATCATAATAATTATTATTATTATTGCTATTAACTACGGATGATTGCGTTAAAAAAAAAGAAATATTATTATGTTATTATTATTATTATCGTCGTCATCATCGTCATCGTCATCATCATTATTATCATCATTATTATCATCATTATTATCATCATTATTATCATCATCATCATCATCATCGTCATCGTCATTATTATTATTATGTTTAAAAATACGACTAGTAGGACTATTGTTCTTTATCGATACGAAGGAAAAGGTTGTTTGTTGTACGTATCAATTTTTTGAGGACGACGGTGACGGTAACGTACCACCTACCCAATAAGCACTTTGTTTCGGTTTTAAGATACCGAAGTCACATAAAATCGCGCCCGATCATCGAATTTTTCGATACGAACAACGCTGACGTAGCGGCATTATAGTTAATTATTATTCACTCGTAATTGAAATCGTCGTCCCGTTACAGCCATTAAAAGAAAAATAACAAAAATGTAAGAAAGAAAGAAAGAAAAAAAGAAAGAGAGAAATAGAGAATGGAAGGAAGGAAGAAAAGAAAAAAGAGAAAAAAAAGCATAATAGTAATAATAATAATAATAATAAATAATAATAATAATAAATAATAAATAATAATAAATAAATAATAATAATAATAATAATAATAAAAAAGAAAAAAAAAAAAAAGAAAAAATACACTAACTGTCTGCAGTTTCGCCTTCTCAAAAAGGAAACTCTCGTAATGTACCTTTTTAATCGTACGACCACAACACTCACGTTCTCGGTTTTCAAAAGCTCTTTGATGGAAAAAAAAAAAAAAAAAAAAAAAAAGAAAAGAATTTTCTAATAATCGTCTCGAGTCGTTTTCATCGTCGTCATCATTCGATAAACTTCCTGCTTTGTATTTACAAAGAAAAAAAAAAAAAAAAAGGATAAAGAAAAAGAAAAACCCCTCCGTGCAGCAAAATATTTTCTTTCTCTCTCTCTCTCTCTCTCCGATAATTTCTATCGATGTGCGCGTCGGATAGGAGAGAGAGATACGCGAAAAATTTTTCGAAAAATCTTTCTCCGTGGCCTACGGACAGAACCACCTCCACCTCCTCCTCCTCCTCCTCCTCCTCCTCCTCCTTCTCCTCCTCCTCCTCCTCTTTTAACGCGATTTATACCCAATTGTGCCATATTCTTCGAACGTAATGCAAGGAGGAGAGAAAGGGGAGAGAAAAAGAAATAAGAGGGAGAAGAGTAAGGAAAGAGAAACGAAAAAAAAATTAATAAAAGAAAAAAGAAAAAGAGAACGAACAAATTAAAGAAGAATATTCGAAAAAGAATCTATTCGCTTTTTCTCGTATCTGTAATTTTTCACAGCCTTATAAATGCACGAACCTAAAGGACTTATTATACACAAATCAATATTACACATTTATACAAGATATAACATACTTTTCGTAAAAAAATACACACACTCACAGAGACATATATTATTAT